TGGCCGCCAAGCGCCCTGTGAGGGTTCTAGGGGGAAAAGCGTCCTGGAAGCTTTGCATTTAGCATTTATCCAAACGAATTCAGACGGTTCAATAAAAGAAAGCAAATACATTTTGTTTTGTCAAAATTTCCCTATAGGCCTATTTACTGGGCAATGATAAATACAAGATGTTATAGTGAGCCTCAGATTTTTTCGTTACAGTATCTACATTTTAATTATTATTGAAAGGTAGTTTAATAATGAATGCAAATACATTTTATTAATTTTGTCGACACCATTCTATAACATTTGCGTTTTTGTTTCGCACTTATGGCAAACGCCTCTATAAACTTGATATACCATTTTGGAAACTGTTAATACATTCGAAAATATAAAATATAACTTATAATGACACTACTTAATATCCTGGATTTATAAAGTGTAAATTACATAAGTGCTTTACAGAAGAAAAGAAACTGCTAGGACCTAGAATAAGCTAAACCTTAGTTTTTAACAACAGCATATAATCAAATAATAAATTAAAAACATAAGTCTGGTTATTTAGCATCTATCTGTCTTATAATAAATTATGCAATATGGACATTTAAAATTCTTTTTTATTTTTTATATTTTCGAAAGTGGGTGTGGCAGCGCCTCCTCTGCTTTGGGGGTGGGGGTGAGCGCCCACTTCTCCCCCTGCTGAATCTGCACCTGGAATAAATGAACATACTGAATAATATATGTTGAATGAAAATGAAAGAAATAATATATAGTATTTTTCATATTTATTTTCCATATAAAATTTTCAATATATTTGTAATTAAATACTCTACATTTTAATTTCCCGTTTTATTGGCTTCTCTTTATATTCATAAGCCCGACAAAATCAATATTGCTCTATAGTTGCACTAGAATTTAATTTTCCACAAAATAGATTCCCACAGTACTCTTGAGGTGAAGCAGGCAAAAGGCTTGTATTTTTTTGTTTGTTTTATTTCCATTTTTGCTACATATTCTGATGTTTCTAAAATACATAGTAGAATGCAATTTTAATATAATTTGAAATACATGTTAATAATAGCCATCACGGTTTCGGGCTTTTTTTTCTAAAGCTAAACAAATTCACTACTAAAACGGAAAGAAACTTTCCAACAACCAAGATTCCCACGGTGCTCATGAGGGTAAGCAGGGAGGCATATTCTTTGTATGCCGCCTTCAGGAATGTGGACTCATTACACTGCAAAGACAAATAGGCTTAGGTCAGATGCTAAATATAGATAACTAGCTATTTTTAGAAGGTCATGGCAATGGCAGTGAAAGTGCATTAACCTACTTTATACATGTCTCCATTAACTTTGAATCATTTATCTGCTATTGACATGTTAATATTCGGATATAAACGGTTATTTGATTAAACAAAATAAATCGTAATCGTAACAACACTTCTAGGACTTTATTATGGATAATTGAGAAATTGATAAATAGAAATATGTACTTGAATTTTCACTTCTGGATCTGTAAGAAGAAAAAGAAAATGCAAAATTACAGTATATTCAAATTAATTGTAAGTAGTAAAGATCGTATAAAAACTATAAAAAAAAAAAACCATACATACATACATACTAAATATACCTTACTAACAGAATTGAAGAATGTTCTTATAACAGAAAGGAACTATAATGTTGTAAAAAAAAAAAAAAAAACTTTTAAAAGGTACACCTGTTGCTTCTTTCCCTCCTCATAATGATATGTCTCAGGCTGACTGAACTTCTTTCAAATTTTTTTTTTTTGTGAAAAGATTACAAAGATACATAACTCACTAAAATACTTTGTGCTCTACCCACTTTGGTAACCACAGATCCGCCCTTAAAAGTGCACTCATTCTTTCTCCTCCTTCAATACTGATTGCACTTTTGTTGAGAAATGCTTCTATTCATTATCCTCTGCATCTTGATCATTAGATTTTATACCCACCCGTCTCCTTAAATTGTGCTGTTTTTTCATTATCAAGCCCCTTACACTCTTTGTAAATGAGTCCCTCATGTCTGGAACTGTTCCTTCGATATTCAAAACCGTTATTGTGAAACCCATTTTGAAGAAACTTTCTTTTGACTCCAGCTTGCTCCTAAATTTTAGACCTATTTCAAACCTTTTTTCTTGCTAAGCTTATTTAAAAAAATCGTATTTAATCAATTATCATTTTTTACCCCTCTGAATCCCACTTAATAACGCAACGACTTGAAAAATGTATGTCTGAAATTCCATCCTGGTTATCTGCTAATATGCTCATGCGTAACATAACAATACTAAAAATGAATTCATTATATTCTGCACAAAGCACATTCGGTCTAAAATTAACTTCCCTTCTTTATATTTCAATTCTTGCACAATTTATCCTTCAACCTCTGTTAAAATCTTGGTGTTACCTTTGACGATTCTCTTTCTTGACAATAATATTAGTCATATCACTAAAATAGGTTAATTTCCACTTACACAATATTGCTAACATAGGAAATATCTATCTAAGCATACTACTGCCACTTTAATCAGTGCCTCTGTCACTTGATTATTGTAACTCTCTTTTCTCTGCACTACCGAAAGCTCAGCTAAACAGGAACACTGCCGCACGTAATCTAACACTTACCAGTAGACGATCGCACATATCTCCCATTATCTATAATTTGCACTGGCTTCCAATTCATGAATAAAGTATAAAATTCTGCTACTAACTTTTAAATCACTGCGACTCCAACAGTCCACTTACCTACTTGAACTCCTTCTTAAGTATGTCCCCTTATCCTCCCTCCGTTCTTCTGACCTTAATTTGCTCATTGTTAACACCATATCCCACGGCCACAGATCATTTTTATTTTCAGCTGCCACACTTTGGAACTCCCTCCCAAAACATATTACCGACTCACCTTCAGTTGCTATTTTTAAGACCAAACTAAAAACCCACCTTTTTAACATCTGAACATGCACAGCGCCTTTGACTTTTACTTCGGTTGAGTGATATTGGTGCTTTATAAATTATTATTATTATTATTATCATCATTTATTATTATTATTATTATTATTATTATTATTATTATTATTATTATTATTATTCTGTTATCCTGTGTGGTGGATAACTATCCCTGCAGCGGCGCTGAAGTAACGACTCCTATTATATGTATTGGTAAATATACGCTCTGGTAGATACGGTGACTACACCCTGGTGGATATGGTGGCTACGATTTGGGTGGACACGGTGGATATGCCTATATTTGTGTTTAAGTTAAAGTGATATAAGCCTATTTAATATTTGTAGGCCTATTTGCTAATTATTATTGAATAATTACTATTGTGGCGACTGGAAAACCACATAGCCAAAAAATATAAGTTTGGGAGAGCAATTCAATATTTCGAGAGCTATTAAAAATAAACCTGACCTGGATCTGAACAATAAACCACAAAACAACAAAATAAAATCTAACAAAAAGGTTTATTTTTGAATTTGGGATTTAAACCAAAACAAACCAACAACCCACCTAACTACTCTGGCTCAGATTATTAAGATGATTAAATATCGTATTATAATGCAGTAGTTCGAGCTGTGATTAAAATTATTATTAGGGAGCAGCTGGGATGAAAGATTAAAAAATGTAGGCACTCTTGTTTCCATACGGCCATGCTCCTCAACCAGTCCAGATTTGCCCAAAGAGTATCAAACTTTACTGTTGATAGAGGGCGCCATTACATTAACATGGCAGAAAATAATTTTAATTTTATATTATAATTAATATAAAAGCTGAAGAAAGGCACTGATCCTGGTCTATGATGGGTATGGCACTGAAATTGTACCTAAATGACAATATGTATTTTAATAATATGTTTGTATATTTTACTGCACCTCTACACGAATGTCATCCGTTTCTGCCGCAAACCTGTTCGGCCACAGTGTATTTAATTCAACTTCCATCCAGAAAATCATTAAATTGAGTGTATTTTATTGTCGTATTGAAATACATAGTTGCTATGACTTCATTCAGTGATTCTTCCCTGAAGCCACCTCTTCGTGGAATGTCTTACTGCAGTCAGTTGTAAAACAAATTGTCGATAACCACTTTTAAAAAATGCTACCCAAGAGCACTTTAAATCAAACCCCTTTCTAGAGCACTCTCTAATTGTCCTGGTGGATGGTTAGGGAGTTTCAACTACAGTACAAGGTAGAAACCCTATATTTACTTTACAATAAATAGGCTTTATAGGCCTATACCAGTTACCAGTGTGGTTTAACTTAAAAACAAAACATGTTTACTTTTTCTACAGATGCTTTTTTTATGAGGATATTTATTGAGTCATTCAATATTTCAAACACAATATAAAATGTGTTCCACACATTTTCACACATCACGGCCGAACCGGTCCTACAGCTTCTACAGCCTTTTTTTCTTTGATTTTGTCAGATTTTTTTTGTTTAATAATCCAAAATGATGATACCACCCACAATTTCTCCTATAGGATTATGAAAAATCTGAAAAAGCTGGGCTTGTAAACTACCGCAACCGATGCCACAATGCGGTCAGGAGACTCTAGGAAGGACTTTATCCTCATAAGCTGCGGAAACTATTTCTCAATAGATGTCTCAAGCTCAGAACTTGCCGGCCTTCATGGTACAATTGAAATTAATTCATTTCTGGACGATGGAAATGTTCCGGTGCTCGCAGCGAAGGTAAAACCAAGAGGAGGGAATAAAACTGTTGAACTCTCCAATAAAGTATGTATTCTATTATTTCAACATTCAAAATGGACATAACTTAATTGAAATGTTCCTGTTAGCAGAAATGGTCCATAGTGAGCTGCCAAATGGTCCAGAGGGAACTGTCATTAGCTCCATAAACTTAACTTTAATCATCTCCCATAAGGCCGGTTCCCACTGAACGCAATCAAGCGAATTTCGCGTCGAAATGTGGCGCGCGCAGCTGAAACGAATTAAGACGCGACTGGCGTTTCCAATGTGAACATGCAAACGAATTTGTAGTCGAACACGCGAACGCCCAATATTCGAACTTCGACGCGGTGCGCGTGGTGGACGCGGAGGCTTCGCCCGCGAATTCACAAAAGTTGATCCAAGACCAACTTTTTCGGATTCGCGAGCGAATTCGCGGCCGATGGACCAATCGCAAGGCTTAGATTCAATTTATGTCAAAGGTCAACAATAAAGGCACGATCAGGAACATTGTCAAAACAATGTACAGATTATGTGCGAACGATGACCGACGAGTCCGTTTCATGCAAACTCTGTGGAACAGTAGGCTACCTTTGTTTAGGTCTGTGACAAGGGAGCAAAGAAAATATGTGACAATGCGTGGAAAAGGATTTGCAGAGACCGGTTGAGTTATCTCTTCTTTCTACCCGGAGTATTACTATAGGCCTGTCCAGCCTAGGCCTCTGATACCCTGCTACACCTGAGACCTACCGTAGGGTAGGGTAGGCTAGGCCTACTATCTACCCTTTATGAGGCCTAGCTCTAGGCCTTGAATAATTATGAACTAAAAAACTATGTTTATATTCACTCTTTTGATTCATTATAGAGTTTACAGTGCATCATTAAAACTTTAAATCTGAGAATATGTTCGAAGTGAGCTTGTAATTTCAGAATAAACAAACAGTATAGTTATAAAATACTAGAAAGGTCACATAGCCAGGTATAGACATATTGAGAATAAATTGTCAGTTCTTTGTAGTGAAGTAAATCTAAAATGTATTCATGAAGTCATTCAAAATCGTGTACAAAATAGTTGAACAAACTTTTAAAGTGTTAATACAAATTAATTCAAGTAATACTAAACTGCTTCATGACTTGTTGGAAAAGATTTGGACAACAATACAATCCTCTTCCGTCTGGCAGTGAAGCGGATCAGAAATTATGTAGATTGCGGTTGAGTACATGTTAAGAAACTAGTCGTGGTTATTGAAACTTAAAAAAAATTTACGCCAACAGAACAATTATTTGCACTATTTTCAGCGATGTGAACTTAAAACGTATTGATGAAGTATATTCACACAATGTCAATCAAATTGTGTACAAAATAGCCAAACAACTTTAAAGAATCAAACAATAAAGTAATTTTCTAGAGTATAGCACCATGGTACGGACTATCTTTATTGAATGAAGAAAATAACTTTGAAGTAATTCAAAAGATACAAAGCGGTTCATGTCTTGTTTTGAAAAAAAAAATGATCTTCTTGCTGTGTGGCAATTCATGATGTATGTTAAAATATTAAAATAATATCAATAATATATATATATATATATATATATATATATATGTATGTATATATATATATATGTATATATATATATATGTATATGTATAAAATATTTATAAAAATTTAAAACGAAAACATACGGCAAAAGAACATTCGCCTATGCTGCTTCATCGCTGTGGAACGAATTGCCACTCTCTATCAAACTGTCTCCCTCTATTGATTTATTTATGTTAAAACTGAAATCCCATCTCTTTAACTCTTTTTAGACCATCCCCACTTAGAATTTTCAATTTTTAAATCTTTTCCTAGTTGTACTCTCTGCACTTTTGATCATTTTTTTTTAAATTAGCGCATTATAAATATTTTATTATTATTATTATTTATTTTTATTATTATTATTATTATTATATACATATAAATGTATATATATAATGGTTAATTCATTACCGTAATTACCTATAGGCCTATGGGCATATGCCCATATTAAAAAGATATATATTTCCGACATGCTTTTGCCCATATTTATTCATATATTATTTCTTCTAACTTGGTCACAAGGGCTGACCCACAAAGAACCCTTATGAATGTTCCCATTTCTTGCCATCAAGGGCCCCAAATGTGTTTCTATCTGGGTCTGCCCATATTTAAAAACTATATATCCCAAATGTTTTGGCCCTGATATCACCCATATATTATAACCCCTTACTTTGCCCACATGAGCTGACCCATTAATAGCCCAAATGGTTCATCCATTTTTTTTTCTCTTGTGGGCCCCAAATAGGATTACCTATATGGGCATGCCCATATTTCTAAAATATATTTCCCACATTTTTTTGCCCATATTTATCCCATATATGATTTCCTATAATTTGTCCACAAAAGACTGACCCACAAAGAGCCCTTCTGAATGTTCCATTGCTTGCCCTCAAGGGCCTCAAACATGCTAAAACCATCTGGGCCTGTCCACATTTTGGAAATATGTATCTCAAATGTTTTGGCCCTTATAGTGCCAATATGTGATTGACCATCTTTCATGCACATGGGCTGTCCCAGAAATAGCCCTTATGTGTTTTTTCTTTTGTGGGCCCCAAATGCGCTTACCCATATGGGCATGCCCGCACTTTTTAAATAACGTTCTCAAATGTGTTTTTTGCACAGTGTGCGACCTTCTTAATTACACTGTGTAAAAAAATCAATGAAAAAATTTATTACACACAGCTAGGTTCCACTAGCCATGTTCTCACGATCACTACTATCCGATGCAAGTTAATGAGAAATCCAGTCAAGGTTGCGTCAAATTTTATAGTATATCTACACGAGAGTTATAGCGGATAGTTATAGCGCTAATACACTGATATAAAAAAGTTAAAGATTAAAATTACTTCTATTGATCTCATGATGATATTTCAATAAAACGAAGACGACAAAACAGAAATTACATTAGGCGAGGGCCTGCCTGTGCTAGGCCTGCTTTGAATTGGGTAGGCAGTAGGCCATCCCAACTATCGACAAAAAAAAAAGGCAAAATATGTTTAACATCCAATGTTTTCATCTTCACTCGGTAGAGCATTCTGAAAAAAGCGAAATAAACTCTGAGTTTTTTTTTCTCACCTACCCTAAACCTACCTATTAAAATTTAGGAGATTTTGGCAGCATTTATAACCCGACCCTCCAAATGTAGTATTCGAGTACGAACGTTATTCGTGGTTCGTCTTGCTAGAATGTGTGAATTGCAGGCTAAAGATAAGGTTACCATATTAGCTGTAATTTCAGAATCATGTACGTACAGTATCTCACCGGCGTTCATCATATCTCATTCAGCTGTATCTTTAGACACAGCGAACGAACTACCACGGAATTTTGCGAATTCCCCCAAAAAAGACATGAAAATTTATATGACGTTTACAATGAATGGTAATAATATAATTTGTCCTGTAATGTTTTATTTGGATTACTTTTGACAATTATGAAGTTAAAAACAACTCAAAAAGGTAATTTTAAAGATGCTTTTTTGATATTATGAACCAACTAGGCCTAGTAGAATTGCCTCGAAAACGAGACCATGGTCAAGCTACAGATGTTATTGCAATCAACATGTGACAAGTCATGTTAATTCACAGAAAGTCCTATCGGATGAGAGCCTTGCCAGTCCGGTCATTTGTTGGTGTTAGCTTGTGGGGTAAAGCGCTTGTTGTTTATCAGGTGACCCTGTTCATACGGTCAGTGTCTGCCTCATAACAAGCGCTTGTTCGATAACTACAATATCACCGGTGTAACTTACACCGTTGGATCAAGGCTACTGTAAAGCAGCCTTCACAAGGACCATGCCTCACTCACAGTTGCTTAATAGGTCATAAATCTTCATTAACATGTCAAACACTAATTTGACTTCACTCGATCAGTCGGGTATAAATGGTCAGCATATTGTAAAGGACTTTTACACCTAATGATTGGTTTTAAGAATGTCAATTGGGAGTTAAAAAGAGAGTCCTGGCCAGCAACATATAGCCATCAGAATGTAAACAACTTCATCTCATGGGCTTCACTGGCAATAAATAATTTAGGAACCCATCGCTATTCAACAAACCAGCAGGATTTATAACCCAAATTTTTTCCAAAAGTCGGGTGCCATGGACCATTTCTGTTAACGGCAAAAAATGCAGCGTGGTAGGATGTTGGGGCATTGAATGTCCAGTAAGCGACTAGGTATTATCTCCAGGGAGCAGAGAAGGTTGCACTTTGTGCTGGGTTGCCATTAACCAGGGGTAATAACGCTCGCGCCTTTTGATCATTTGAAATTGGCGCCTTAAAAATATTTGAGTATTATTATTATTCTTACTACAGGTTGAGCCGAGTGACACAAAAGATAAAGTGATAGTATTCTTCAAATCACAGCCTGTTGTAATTACACCAGACAATCTTCACAATGTCGTCTTGGTATGCAGCATGCTTGACTCACCAATCAGCTCCCTTTACCACACTGTAAAGAAGGTGATGCTTTCACTTATTTATTTATCCAGTTCATACAGTTAAAACAGGACACAACTATGTATTACAACCAGGGGCAGCTTAAAGAAATATTTTAATATGAATTTGACCTTCAAAATTTATAAGGTATGCACCAATAAACACAGGAGCTTCCAGGAGCTAAATGAGGGCAAGAGGGACACCCTTAGGCCTAATAAAAAATGTTATGCTGGCGTAACCCGACCGACCCTAAAAAATCGGTCGACCATAGACATTTTTATTTAAATTTCACGATGCAAGTTTAGGCCTACTGTAGGCCTAGTAGGGAATGAAAGTTGTAAATTTGCGTCCACCGCCCGCATGTCTAAAAAGCTACCACATGACATTTTTCATTATTTTGAAAAGTTCATTATTTTGAAAAAATAATACTTAATTTTTTTTAAAACAGACTTTCTAAGTCGTATACAAACAGAAAAACATCTCCTAGGCCTATTCCTTCATATCTGATCACTCATCGCGAAAACCACGAAGGCAGGGCATAGGACCGTGATTGCCGCTTCTGAGGTCATTTACAGGTCAAATTGGAACTTAAACCTCCAGCGGTGGAGCTCTATTACTGCTTGATTAAAAGAAATAACGCCACCGTGTGGTTGAAGAAAAAGAGCTCTCTTGGACTTTCACCATCGCAAACTTTGTAGGCCTACATTATCTTTCTATTCCACTTTTCTATCTCTATTTACATAATAAAGTGAGTAGAATAATTCACAATGTTTCTAAAGACCAAACTGTAAATAACTTTTCTACAATTTGATCCACTTTAAATAAAAGATCTGTCTTGTGGTGTATATTTATGACTGATTGTTTGTAGGCCTAGCTATGCATTTGTTTCTTGTGAATAACGTAAAATTGCCATGGCTTGTGTACAGTCATGTGTACAGCATTTATAAAAATAAAAAAAATGCCTCATGTGTTTTTAATATTTTTCGGATGCAAATCTACAACTTTTATTTAGGCCCTAATATATTCCTTCGGTTCAAGCTGCACACCTCAACTGACACTACACATCCTGAAAAATTGCTTAAGTAAATATTGTTATTAGGACTGGACCAGTAAATATATTAAAAGACAAACCAATTACAACAATATAATAATCCAAAGTTCAGTTTTTGAAATACTATTAAAATGCATCATAAAAACATTTATATTATAATAGAGAGAAAACACATAGGCCATACAGGCTTGCCCAAATGTGTTTTCAATATTTTTCGGATGCAAATCTAAACTTTCATTCCCGTGGCCCTATGTGAGCAAAGTGGGCTTTGTGGAGCGTCACTCAAAATGTTTCAAAAGGGGTCCAAGGGCGAAAAATATGACAATTAGGGGCTTTAAAGGCTTATTTACATGATTTTATAGATTTCAATGACTTTGCTGAATATTGAAAAAAAAATCTCTACCTACCTACCCTATTTTTGGGGCCCATTACGCCTACATAACATTTTTTTTTTACGCCTTCATATAATCCTTCAGTTCAAGTAGCACACTTCAACTGACACTATTAATCCAAAGTTCATTTTATGAACTACTATTAAAATGCATCATAAAAACATTTATATAATAATAGAGAGAAAAACACATAGGCCATACAGGCTTGCCCAAATGTGAACCATACCACTATCAGTTGGGTTCCTACAGCCAGTTAGGAAAGATATATAAATATGAAGGGCTGCCATTTCATTAGCATAAAAAATAATGGTGACGTGAGCAGTTTTCTGATATTGATATGTCTGCCGTATATGACATTTTTGTTGAAAATACAGTATAATGGCTAAAAATAATGTAATTTCACTTAAATTGCATTAGGTTATTTTTAATATGTCAGGTCTAGGATAATATCTATTATTATTTTACTCTGTAACCAGCTCTAATTATTTTATTTACCTTACTAGGTGTTTGCACCCTTGTTACTTGAGGATGAAAAATGGTCGCAAGGCTTTGATCCAAAGCTACAAAGTTTGCTGAGTCAGCTCGTAGCCGGGTTAAGCAGCGTCATCTGCAAGCAAGACCCATCCCAGCGAGGTTCTTCTGGTAGAGAAGATAGCCTTGGAGGTACATATAATTGAAACAGAATTTTAAAATAATTTGAAATAAATAATAGAAAATAAAATAAAAATAATTTTTAGTCTGGTACAAATTAGAAATAATTTTCAAAATTTAAATATTACACATATATACAATATATCTATTTTGGGAATGTTTAACTGGATTAACTGACATGCCAAATTTTTTTTTTAATTGAGGCCTGTTACATAACATTGTATATCTATGATTGTCATTTGTTTTATCTTTGCTCTTACATTAGGCATCTTGACCCCATCTGATGAGTTCCAGTATTGGGCTGAGGTAGCAATGTCTGGGAACACATTGGACATAAAAAAACGTGCTCAGCTTTTCCAAACACTCTTTGAACCAATAGCAAGGGATTATGGCAATCTGGATGGGTTTTCATTGGATGAGGGACTGAAGCTGGTTGAGACAACTAATGATGCTGTGGATGAGGTTTGGAGGCAGGGGGAGTTTGACCCCTACCCAGAAAGAAGAATGCAACATCTTTTGGATGTTATTGGTTAGTAACATTCCAAACTTTTTAATGTATTTTATGAATACTATAGATAAAACAACTTAAATTTTTCTATATAATGTAAAAAAAAAAATAAATGAGGAAGATACGAAAATGAGCATATAATTATTTATTGTGAATTCTATTTTAAATCATGTGATATGTATTATTTTTTTCTAAATATTTTGTTCAGTATTATGGAAGTATCTCAAATATATTTAACTAGCTACTACATAATAATTTGGCCTGTTGAATGGAATATTCTATTATATTTTAGGGGTGTTCTATAAATGAAACCTTGACTTATGTCAGTTTATGTAGTCATAATATTAATAATGTTAGTAATTTATTTTCATTCTTAATTTAAAAGTGTGCTTTTGCTTAACTGTGAAGGTGGAGAACTAGGCAGGTTTGTGCAGCGTAAACTATGTGGCCACGACATTTGGCGGGACCCATTCTACCGTGTCCGCGAAGCTCTACAGAGGGCCATCTCTATTTGCGACAAGTGGATTCTCCAGTGCGAGGAGTTGACAGGTCAGTGCTGGAGGACTGACCCCATAAATCCTTGGAATGGTGATAAGTTCAGTCCGGAAGACCTGTCTCAGCTGTCAGCGAGACTGCAGGAGGTTAGTGGATTCAGTCAAAAGATACAAATAAATAATAAATAAAATGATAATAAATGAAAGTGTAAATTAAATAAAATTACACAGGAAGATGAATGCTTTTATTTCAGTGGTAGAAAATGGCGTAACTCTTTCATGAAATGGATAGGAGCAGAACATATAATGACATTATTTATATATTAAGTATCAATTAATGACTAGATTTCAGCTCGTCACTGAGGACAATTTAGGTGATCCGCCACACTTTGACCCTCGAGCGGATTACCTCTTGTTATTGTCAGAGATCCATCATCATCTTTTTTTTGTTCTACCTTTCCTTCCATTTTTGTTCGCCGCTATATCTAATTTGCTGTAAACTATGCACATGGCAGCTTCAACAAATAAATGGCTTGGCCTGGAATAGTCACAAGCTTTTCAAAAATTTTTATTTTTGAAAATATTTATTATTTAAAGTACGAGTTGTAGATATGATTTTATAGATCATAATGGCTGATCGGACATTGTGACATCATCATATTGCCATCTGAATTTTAAAAAACTGAATTTTTATAAATGACCAAATAATTTTACCGACAGAGGGCGGTAGACTGTTTTTCGACACTATCAGACATATATGTAGTACATATGAGTAAAAAAAAAATTGTGTGGCATTACTGACCAACAGGCATTTTTAAATGACACTTGACAAGATTCAATTTCGTATGCCATTACCATCCGCTCGTAAGTGTACGTTAAAATTTGAAAATTTAAATGAGGCAATATCCAATCAGAAAAGTAGTTATCATGCTGAGAATGTATATTGAGGATAAAAAATTCTGAGAAAAAAAACAAAACAAATGTAGATTATTAAATTAATCGATCAGTTTAAAGCTACCTATTTATTTATTTCATATGTGCCTAAAGGTCATGACCTTGCGAAGCATCCACGAACAACTGATCAGGCTACTGTCAGCTGGAGAGCAACAAGAGCTGGGGACTGGCAATGCGTTCAGCCCATTTGCAGGCCTCAACCCATTGCAGTATAATCCATACACGCAGCCCCTATGGAGGGCTGCAGTGTCTCAATATGAACGAGGTATGTAGCTCTATGTGTGTGTCTGGGTTATCTACACTATCAAGATTTATGTGATAAATGTGTGTGATTTGCCCTATAGCCATGGTGATGACATATCACATCCATATATCGGCATGGTGATGTCATCACATCCATATATGGGCATGAAGATGTTATATTACACCTATATAATGGCAATTCACATGTATTGTCACATAAAATTTGATAGTGAGGACAGTGCATTAGGAAATTTATGGATAGGGAGTGATTAACAAATTCTCAAACTCAATAAAATATTACGAGAGCGCAGCTAGGTCAGTCTGCTAAACCGGTGGTGCCACTGTCTGTATGCTGAACCATGGCGATATCTTTGTCCCCGGTTTAATTCCCATCACTACTCTTCTTGTATTTCAGCTGAAGGACTGAAATGCAATTTACAATAGTGCATCATTGTTCGGATTAGATATTTAAGCCATTGGTCCTGTGAGCATTATGGTCCATGTGTATTAAAGAACACAGTACACACTCTGGAAAAGAGTAGGGGATTGTCCCTGGTGTACTGCCAGTCACCACTAGAAGCACCCCACTGGAAAGAAGTCTTCTTCAGACTTTCATTGGGTTGCGTTTGGTTTTTTTTTTAACTGGACAAGTCCATCCATCCATCGAACAGATGTGATACAGGAGCTCACATACTCAGGTAATTATGGAATATCTGTCTATTTCTCTTATTAAGCTATGGGGCCAGCTGAACAGAGGATTGCAGGGAAATTAAGAACTCAGTTTCGCAACCTGAGCAAGAACACACACCAGTTACTGCGGGAGTTCCAGCGTTATAAGGAACTTACCAAAAGGGACAATGTCAAAAAGGAGTTGATATCGGAAAGGTAAGCAAGTAATGGCCATTACCTCTTGTGATATTTGATTCCCATTTCTATTGTATTTTAATATATGATGGACTGAATAAAATATTGAATTGATATATTAAATATTTGTGGAGACAGACAAAAATTTTATTTTTGGTCTCTCATTAACTTGCACATTGCAGAGAAACACTTCTGCAGCAGCTTCAGCAGTACATTAAAAACGTCAAGGAAGATTTCAACACCAGAGTAAATGAGGGCAAGCCAAAGCTAGGCAAAAACTTGCCAGAGGTTACTAACAACATTGTCTGGGTCAGGCAACTTGAGGCCAAGGTTCGTATCTGCTCCTTTTTATTCAAGTTGTATTTTGTAGCTTTTATCAGAAAAATATTGGAATAATAATATAGTGGAAAGCATAATGACGGAAAATGTTAGAAGAACCCAGCAAGGTTTGGAGAGAAAGATAGCTTCATTCTACAATCAAAAAAAAAAAAAAATTGAAATTTATTTTTCCCTACAGTGGGGTTGTTAAATATATACAGAACAAATGTTTTTGTATTTTTTTATTATCACTAACAATAATTTGTCTACGAAGTTAATTTACTCTTTGTGTTTCTCCTTAGGTTGAAGAAACAAGCAATTCTGCGGAAGTGTTGCTAAATGATCTCTCAGGTTTCAGTCGATTCAGAAAAGATGCTGTGGAACTTCTGGAGGAACTGCACAGCTGGCGGCAAGATCAGTTTGATACCTGGTCACGGGATACTCTGGCAGCCATCGAGGACACAAGGAAACCTCTTGGGTAGGATGATAATGGTCACCATGGTTTTTTGGAGATTGAATATCCTTGAAGATATTAAAAATACAGGTTTCCCTCCAATTAACGACCACTTTTGGGACTTATGCTTCCATGGTCTTTAGCAGCTATGATCTCCAAGTAAAATAATTAGAATAAAAGATATTTGGAAATTTGGTACCAAAGAAAAGTCTTTAATTGGAGGTGGTCTTTATTTGAAGGGTTCTTTTAGAGGAAAACATGTAGCTAATACAGTAAGAGCCTTAACTGTCATATTGTGCATTTGCACTCTGTGAAGGTAATTCTGATCAATATATTAATGTAAGGTTATATGTGATAGAGCATGCATGGCATTATGGGAACTCAGCCTTAGCATTTGATCAAATTATGTATTATATTGTAAAGGTTTAAATATTATGCACTGCACTGTGGGAAATTAACCAGATTTATACATTGCATTATGGGAAAATTAACATCAGCATTTGATCAAATTATGTATTATATTGTAAAGGTTTAAATACTATGCATTGCACTGTGGGGAATAAACCAGATTTATGCATTGCATTATGGGAAATTAACATCAGTATTTGATCAAATTATGTATTATTTATATTGTAAAGGTTTTAAATATTATGCATTGCACTGTGGGAAATTGACAAGATTTATTCATCATTTGTTCATATGGAAACTCGACATCAGCATTTGATTAAATTATGTATTGTAAAGGTTTAAATGTTATGAATTATGTAGGCCTATTGCATTGTGAGAAATTAACCAAATTTATGCATTGCATTATGGGAAATTAACATCAGCATTTGATCAAATTAGGTATTGTATTTTAAAGGTTTAAATATGAATTATATGCATTGCATTATGGGAAGGTAACATGTATTATTAATGCATTCCATTGGTAGAAGTAATGAACAAGGAACATGTGATGAATTATACAGATGATAACTTATCTCTTTTTAAGATTTTTTATTTTTTTTGTAGTTTACAGACAACGGGGCGTTTAATGGACTTTGATACCAAAGACAACAAACTAGTTGTCAATTATGGTGACAAGTTAGTGACTTTGCTACGAGAGGTCCGTCAACTTCAAGGCCTTGGCTTTGCAATACCAGCGAAGATTCAGCACACAGCGAACGTTGCACAGAAGTTTTATCGTCATGGGGTCATTCTGAAACAGGTATGCAAATTATATACTATAAAATATTAATAATAATCATAATAATAATAATATGTTAGACTTATATAGTGCTGGATGCCAACAAGGCCTCTAAGCGCTTCACATTATTACCCCCGGTCACTGGATCAAACGCATATGGAACATATACTCAGTTCCTTGGGGAGAATTTCATAATGTTGCAGCTAGTAATCAGCGCATTTTGTGTTTGAACCTACCAGGTACCCACTTGTACTCCTGGGTGGGAGGAGACAACTGTAGGTGAAGTGCCTTGACTAAGAACACAAGCAAAATGCGCAAAAAAGGAATTGAACCTTTGACAGCAGTTCATATATTTATTTTATTGTTAATCTTATCACAACACAGAGAATATGTTTTTTTATGTTTGCAAATAAAATTATTTAAAGATGCTTTTTGAGGAGTTTCAAAACATGCATCTAAGACTAAGAAATATGAAATACTTATTTAATGTATTATATATATATATAATTTTTTTTTATTGATTATATCCAATGTATTTAGCAGTATGTAATGTATCTAATGTGTTGTATAGCAGTACAACAGAAACATGTGACTTACGAATTTGCATATTACAGGTGGCTCATTTCCATAACACAATAGCTGAACAGATGATTCCGAGTCAGCGTCCGATGATGTTGACCTCAGCAATAGCTTTTCAAAACATCATCAAAAACCCAAAGAAAGGCGCGAAGGATTATTGTCACTGTTTTTGTTACAACACTGTGGTGAACACTCATCATCACCACCATTAATGTTATCGGTATGAAATTTTTTAGACCAACTTTTGAAATTTTTAAGAATATATACTTAAATTTTGTTATTGATATTCAATAATTTCAATAACAGCAAAACATAAGTATATATTCTTTTATTGATATTTAGTAAATTATGAAAAAATATATATTATTTAATAAATAAAGTAAACAAAACGGACCATAATGATTATGTCTAAATTATTATTTACAGGTTGTATATCTAATGAACATTGACTTGCTAAGACAGCCATCACGATGGAAAGAAGGATTGAATGAAATCAGGAACATTATGGCAGATCTGCACAGCAAGGTATTTGACAGCAGCCAAAAAATCAATCAATCAATTAGTTAGTCTATCAGTCAATCAATTACACAATCAGTTGCTCATTAATCAGTCTATCAATCGGTCAATCAATCATATATTACCAATCAATCATTTACAATCTATCAATCATCAATCATTTTATTATAAATAAATTGCTAAATCATCAATAGATCTGTTAGTTATTCTGTCAATCAACCAAAATAAAATCAATCAATCAATCAAATGATTGACCAATCAATTAATCTAGCAATCCATCAATCATTCAATTGGTCAGTTGGATCATCCTTATCATCCCCATTATCATCATCATCTGGTTTTTAATTACATGTTATATAAGGGAGCCTCGCAAAATAAAGCAAAATATATACCCGTCTACAACGCATGGTTGGGGATTAAAAATCTCTTTACGTTGCCAATGAATGGTTCAAGATACTGACAAAAAATTTTGGATGATTTTCGCAAATTAGGATTCATTTTCCGACGTTATTATTGTTCTACTTGTTTGCGTCAGTTTGTCTCGTGATATTGATGTACTGTAATTTATCTGCAAATCTCTTTTCTGTGTTTTGTCATAAGTTTCAATCATTATTGTGAATTAATTTTAATACTATAACTCGTCATTTGTTATTGAGCAATTCTGTAAAATTTACAACCAAAATTTTGAATACCAAGGTGAAACCCACTAACATTTCCTATACACTTTACTGTAAGTTATAATCAGGCCAAACTCATGTTGATGCCATGAGTAGTGACGGGATAAACGCAATTTAATGCCAGTACCTGCTTCTTCTAGAACTATTCATAGGAACATTCCCATGGTTTTGCTGCTATCAAGGGTCATTGATCTTGCTGCGGGCCGAGCTATGCATAGCTCAAACCCTTTGTACGCCGCCCAGTGATAAGGATTGGATTTTTCGGTGTAAACACCAAGAATAGCCCACGAAAGTCTAGAAGAAGACTTATTTCCAGTGGGGTCCTTCTGGTGGTGATTGGACAGTACACCGGGAGACAATCCTCAACTCTTTTCCGAAGAGTGTACTGTGTTCTTTAACGTGCACATGGGCCATAAATGCACACGGGACTAACGGCTTAAACGTCTCATCCAAAAGACGGTGCGTTATTGTAACTTGTATTTCAGCCCTCTAGCTAAACACAAGGAGAGGCAGGGATGGGAATTCAACCGGGGACCTAGAGATCTCCACGGTTCAGCGCACACACAGTGGCTACCACCAGATTAGCCGACTGAGCTAAGCAACTCAACGTTACCATGGAAATTGTTGTTCGTCGGTCAAAAAAAAAAATGCATAGAATAAACTAAGGAAATAGCAGTCTATGAATTTTTGTGTGCAATTAAAATCTTGTATTTATTGTTATATTTATTTTTTATTAATTCTCATTATTAATGATATTTTATATTTGTTATATATATTTAAAAATGGATTTGTTACAAAACAACCAAATTAATTACTGTACAATAAAGACAACAAGGAAGTAACAAACAGAAACTAAAAAAAAAAGTTTATTCAGTAGAACATAAACTAAAATTAATTAGCATAAACAGTTTATTACGGAAATGATCAAGATCTAATGTGTGTAGGCCTACAACAATCGCTTGTATATGCTTGTATGATAGTCTGATCTTATTGATTGATTGATTTACTTACTTACTTACTCACTCACTCACTCACTCACTCACTCACTCACTCACTCACTTACTTACTTTTTATTTATTTTTTATTTTTTTATTTTATTTTATTTTATTTTTTTTGTGGGGGGGGGGTCATGACAAGACAAGTTTTTTACTTCTAGTCATGATCCCAATGATGGTTGTTTATTATTTGTATTGTATTCTATTCTATTATTATCTCCATCATTTAATAAATGTCATTTCAATTTGAATTTGAAACACAATACTCTTACATTTAGTTTTTGTTTTTTTTTTTTTCATTTTGGAAGCTGAACAACAATAAATGTAGGCCTCCGAAAAAAATTGCTACCATATTCAAAAACAGCATAGTCCTACACCCAGGCCTAATTTCTGTTTTCAAAATGACCTACAAAAAAAGCAATGAAAATAGATGGGGAAAAAATAATGCCAGTCTATTTCGTGAATACTTACCTGGATAACCGACTAATTGCCATTGTTCCCAAAACGGAACACCCCTTCGAAAATAATGGAACAGTCCGACCCAAGGCGCCACGTGCGAACCGTCTCCCTAACAAACGTCCTCATTCAAGGCTGAGCCTTGCGAGATTTGTGCGCGCTGGCCCCCGACTAAGTTTGCGGCGGCTCTAGATTGGGCAGCTCAGGCTGCCACTCGATCTCAGGGTTCGCTGCCGGCTGCGTCGGGGGTTGTTGCGGTGCCGGATGACTCGCCTCCACCTCTGGAGGTTTCGTCGGCTTCGCATTCGGCGGGTCCTTCCCCTAATAATAAAAAAAAAAAAAAATAATGCCAACCTAGCTTACTGCGCTAAATTCTGATTTTCATTGTATATAGAGTATTCATTGGCGATCACTGTACTTTATTATGAATAGGGCTACAAATAGTAGGCCTATTGTACAATCATTTATTGAATATACAATATTATATTTAAATGCAAGGTTATTCCTAGCTATTATATCAGAACAAATTATAGAATAAATCAATGGAGAGAAAGAACAATTTGAAGAATAAAATAATGATAATATGTTAGAGATTGTAATTCAGAATATCCCTTAGCCCATTAATGGAACTGCAAAATTGTATTCACATTGTCAAAACCACAGACCCTATACTTGCAGCCGGCCTGGCCATGCTGTACTGTATCAAGGAAGACGTTCCAAATCCACTTGAAATGCCGTGGTATATTAACAATTGACAACTACTTTTATACATTACTAGTGAATTTTATAAATGAAATTGAAATCCCTTTAGTAAAATAATAATAATGGTACTTTCAAGCATTTAAAAATGATTTAATAATTATACATTATAAATTTAATTATATTGAAAAATGGTTATATAACTAATTACCCATATTGAATAGTGGAGTCCGTGGTTAATCAACGATGCAACAAAACATGTGCTTCACTCGCTGTTTGAAGAAGGGTGAAAGCAATACTTTGAACAGCAAGCTAGCCCTCACGCCCAGAAAACCACCCTTGGAAGAACCTGGCTACGGGCATGAATCATTGAAATAGATAACATATAGGACAACTGCCCATGGCATTTATATCAGATAAAGGTACATTTGTGTTTGTGTTCCTAGTTATATGAAAAAAACAATATTTTTTTTGTATTTCACTAAAACTGAAGGAAGTGTACCCTATCTATGTTGGTGAATCGAATGTACTGTAGGCCTATGTCTCTCTGTCCTAGAGATTTAATAATCTTAATTCATACTAAAACGATATAAAAAATGATAAGCTCTCAGCACTTTAAAGACTAACTGCCTGACAAAAAATCATGAAAATTGCCTGTTGTTTTCAATTTTTAATTTTGCTCTACTTCATAATTTTTCGGAGTAAGCAAAGCCTAGGACTATCCATGGAGGTATAATAATAATAATATCTCTATGGCCTATCCTAGTTTTATATTTCTGGTGTCTGTTGATCATAACGCTGATAATATCGATTAATTATTAATATAACTTCTCAGAAATATAACGTGAGCTTGTGTTCCTTCTAATAAGGTTTATGTTTAATATGAGACGTTTTTGTTTGTGTTAATTGGTTTTTACACTTAGCCTGTTATCAATTTCCCACAAGAAATGGAGTAGCCAAGAAAATAATCCTGACGCATTGCCAACTATACAATTAAACTGCCTTAAATCGCCTTGCGTGGCCCACACGTATATGCGTTGCTTTATTTTGCGAGGCTTCCTAACAATATTTGTGCCTGTTGTGTTTGTAGGGCTACAAGTTAGAAGACATGAAAACATGGAAACTGCACTGGGACATGCAGCTGTACAAGGCCTTGGAACACCAGTATCAAATGGGCCTAGAGGCACTGCATGAGAATCTACCCGAGATCAAGGCTGAGATTATTTACAGGTAAATTTTGCTTTGGTTCTGTATATGTCAATCACAGATATTCAAAAATATGTATATGTTTATCTATATCTGTCATCACAATAGATCAAGACAGGTACAATAGAAGATTAGTGAACCAAAAACTGAGTATGTCCATATTTTTGCATACTTGGTCTTACCATGGTCTTACCATGTTTAGGACTATTATCTTTCAATCACATGTATTTTGCACTTTCCCTAGGCATCAGAAGCTTCAGTTCCGGCCATCATTGGAAGAGATCCGTGCAAAGTACTTCCGTGAGATTAAGAAGTTCATCAGCATACCGAACTACTTCAAAGGCCTCAGCGATCCAGGGCAAGCACTTATCTTCCCCGTCATGATTGAGAGGAACGCTAGCCGATTTCCGATACTGTACCGTAAAGCGGAGGAATTGTTCCAGAAGCTTGTGGAAGCTCAGCTTAGATTCAAGGTAGTAAATTCGGGTGTGAGTCATCAGAACAGTATTTATGAACAAAATGTCTCATTTTCTTTTACTGTAGTCCCTGTATTTTCCAATATAGTTTAGAAGTCGTGCGGCTGAGCGGTAAGGGAGGGGCGTTGCTAACTATAACAGCCTTAACATCTGCGCTGGTTCAGTTGATAGAACCAATTCTCTCAGATAAGGATTTGAAATGGAGGTCCAGTGTATACATTTGACTCTATATGCAATTTTAGCTCAATGATGCTGCAAGTTATGGGTTATTCTCCTACCTTTACCCCTACCTTCCTTTACTTTGAATATATTAAATAATCATCAAATAATGAAAGTTTTTGAGTACAATGGGGTAGAATATTTCATGAAGTGAAAGGTAGGATGTTCTATTCAACGAGGCGTAGTACAAATGAGAAACATTCATTATTTGTTATATACAATACCTCTGTATATCTCTCTCAATTATATCAATAATACCTTGTCTAGGTCCTCGGCTGGGTGTAGGCCTAGGGTCTAGCCTAGGCCTATGCTGCTCTATCTAACGATAGCAAAATCTTCGTCATATCTTTACTCACAGGGTTTTTGTGAATAACTGCATATTTATTTTATTGCCTTATTTTTGTTGATTCGGCATAACTTTTCATTCAGTAATTCCTTAAAGACTTCCTCAAAAAAGTACAAATGGATCTGCCATTATCGGCGGAGCGAGGGCTACTGAATGATCAAATCTTTGTCGACGCGTGGGTTGTAAATACGCTAGGTTATTTTTTCTCTCTCGTTTGCGTCGGGTTGTGTTGCACTTGAGATTGTTGTCATCTTGGAGATGAAAAAGTATTATTCAACGATCGTTACTCAACATGAGGCAAAAGTTCCTGTTAGCAGAAATGGTCCATAGTGAGCTGTCTGATGGTTGAGAGTGAGCTGTCAGATGGTCCAAAGTGAGCTGTCAGCAGCTCCATAAACTTAACTATAATTGGTTCTAAGAATGTCCATTGGGGGTTAACAAGAGAGTCATGGCAAGCAAGATATAGCAATCGGAATTTAAACAAGAAACCCATTACAATCACTCACTTCTAAACAGAATGATCTCATGGGCTTCACTGGCAATAAAAAACTTAAGAACCCATCGCTCTTCAACAAACCAGCAGGATGTATAACCTGAGTTTTTCCAAAAATTTGGGTGCCATGGACCTTTTCTGTTAACAGCCAAAAATGCAGCATGTGTTAATTATGATAAATTGCAAACCCTTCCACTCCCCACCCCATTGAAAAATTTAGGACTAAAGTCATGGTGAATAGCAGTAAAGCATGCTATTAGTGGATGATTCTATTATTTTCAGTGGGTGTTTAAAGTGAACACTGACAATGGTTAATATAAGTTACAGACTGCCAACATCATTAATGTAATTATATCTTGTACATTTTCTGTATTTTTTATTTTTTAAAGCCAAATAAAAGTTGACTGTCTCACTATATCAACAAAAACTTGGGTTCCATGGACCATTTTTGTTAACGGCCAAAAATTCAGCATGAATAACCATGGAATATTTATTTTAAATCAATCCCACGGTTCCTGTTTTCAAACAATCAAATTAATAGAATATATACAGGTGTTGTATGGTAATTAATAATATATAATAATTACCCTATTCTATATTTATTAAGGCATGGGTTGTGCTTGGGTCTGTTGATTTGGATAAATTAGTTGAAGAGCAGCTTCACACAGTGCCAGATTGGGAGAGGAACTTCAAAGCTTTGAAAGGTAAAGGTAGAGATGCAGAAAAGCTACCAAGGTAAGTCATCATATCGTATATTAGAATTTTTTTAAATATTTTTAAATATTTTTAAATAACGCAAATGCCTGTTCTTGCCTACTTTGATCAAAAGGCTGAACACACGATTCTGACAGATGCATCACTTAAAGGACTGGGAGCAGTATTATTACAGTCAGGACAACCTGTCATGTACATTTCTCGCAGTCTAACCAATGCAGAGCTTAAATACTCTAACATCAAGAGAGAACTATTAGCCATTGTATCATGCTCTGGAGCGTTTACACCACACCATGTATATGGATACACAGTACAAGTAGAAACCGACCACAAACCACTTGAGTCAATTTGGTAAAAGCCTATTACTCAAGCAAGCCCAAGACTACAAAGGCTATGACTAAGGTTAGCCAAATGTGACATTGACATAAAATACCTCAAAGGCAAGGAAAACCTAATTGCTGACGCACTTTCTCGAGCTGATCCACTACAAGAAAAAGACGACAAGGTGGAACATATTCCTATGCACTGCATTAATGTACCAGCATCAGCACAGAAAATAGAGGATTTCAAAACGTCCACACAAGCAGACAGAGTTCTCAGCTTACTCAAGCAAAAGTTGGAACAGATCTGTTTGAGATCAATTCAACACACTATCTACTTGTTGCAGACTACTTCAGCAGATTTCCAATAGTTAGGAAAACCAACAACCAGAGATCAGACACAGTTATTAGTCATCTCAAAACGATCTTTTCCGAAAACGGAATACCATCAATTGTTATGCCCGATAACGGACCACAATACACCAGCGCTGAATTCAAAGATTTTGCAAACAAATATAAGAATGGTGCAGACAGTCAAAAAGACTATCATTAAGTCAATCACTTCAAACACTGACCCACATCTCTCCATGCTGATATACCGTTCAACACCGCTTAGCACCAACAAGAATTCACCTGCCGAATTACTTACAGGGAGAAAGTTCAAAGCACTATTACCAATTCGCAATCATATCAAAGAGTATTGCAGTATTGCTATTGATAGACCAAGGTGAAATATTCTTCATTTCTTTTCATTTATTTCATCCAAAAAAACATTAAAAATTGACAAACACAAGAAAACAGAGATCACAGGAAACAACACTCAGTTGGCCGGACAGGATTGCCAAAAAGTGAACTAAATCACTGTCTAGTGGATCTCCGATGTCAATGAGAACAAAAATTATTTAAAAATATTATAAAGCCAGAAAGACTCATAGAAACAAAATAAAGAAAACAATAGCACAAACGAACATATATAATAATAATATGTCGCTCTTATATAGCGCTTCATGCACAATGCCTCTAAGCGCTTCACATTACTACCCCGGTCATTGGATCAAACACATATGGAACACATACTCAGCTCCCTGGGGAGAATTCCATAATATTGCAGCTAGTAATCAGCGCAGTTGTGTTCGAACCTATCAGGTACCCACTTGTACTCCTGGGTGGAGAGAGGCAACCGTTGTAGATAAAGTGCCTTGCCCAAGGACACAAGTAATTTGCACAACGAGAGTTTCGAACCCCCGACCTCGAGGTTGGGAGTCCAAGACACAACCGATGCGCCAACCGCTTGTGTAGTAAAATTTTAGTGTAAAATAATCTAAAAAGTCTGGCGTTTGATACTATTTTTTGAAACCTTTGGCGGTCAGAGTCATGAGGCAAAAGTTCCTGTTAGCAGAAATGGTCCTTAGTGAGCTGAGAGTGAGCTGTCAAATGGTCCAGAGGGAGCTGGCAGCAGCTCCATAAACTTAACTTTAATTGGTTTTAAGAATGTCTATTGGGAGTTAACAAGAGAGACATGGCCAGCAACATATAACAGCTATCGGAATGTAAACAAGAAACCCATTATAATCACTTACTTCATCTCACTCATGGGCTTCACTGGCAATAAATAATTGAAGAACCCATCGCTCTTCAACAAAGCAGCAGGATGTATAACCCGAGTTTTTCCAAAAATTTGGGTGCCATGGACCTTTTCTGTTAACGGCCAAAAATTCAGCATGTGTTAATTACGATAGATTGCAAGCCCTTCCACTCCCCACCCCATTGAAAAATTTAGGATTAAAGTCATAATCATGGTGAATAGCAGTAAAGCATGCTATTAGTGGATGATTCTATTATTTTCAGTGGGTGTTTAAAGTGAACACTGACAATGGTTAATATAAGTTACTGACTACCAACATCATTAGTGTAATTATCTTGTACATTTTCTGTATTTTTTAATTTTTTAAAGCCAAATAAAAGTTGACTGTATCACTGTATCGACAACACCCGTTAGAGCCGTGATTGATGATCACATTCAACAGCTCTTTGATGCCCTCCTCAACTCCCTGCGAAGGTCCATCAACAGTCATGTGAACGAAATTGACAAGTTTGTGACAAAAGCGATAGAGTCGCTCTCAACGCGGCCACAAACAGTGCTGGAGATAGGCCAGGCTAAATCCATACACACAGAGCTTGCTACAAAGAAAGGGTCTGTAAGTAACTATATTTTGATGTTTGATTAATAAAGATTTATAGTGGATCCCTTATGACACTTTACCATCTGAAGTAAATATCAAGTGACACAAACTTCAAAAGTCATATTTTTTCGTTTTTTTTTTCCTTGATATTTTGATTATGTACGTTGAACATTACCTTTTCATCTAATTTGTAATAGTGCAACTATACTAATTACGTTAATTAGCCGTTGCGGACAAACCAAGAAAACTGGATTTTTTGTTTTCATGAACAGACACAAACTTTCATTGTGTTATTAAAAGACACGCGTGGGGCTTTGCAATTGTTGTGATCGCTAGGAAGGCCTTGCAGTATAACTTGGAATAGGTCTATACACGTGCATCAAATGTGGAATTATTTGTAAAAACATAATGATTTAACCAGGATAAGCCGAGATTGTAGGCCTGTTTTTGCCCTTGACTATAATGGTTAAAACATAGCTAAAATACAGTTTTTGCAAGCCTGTGCCTATTAACAACGTAAGCATGTACAGCGCGTACCATTTTCACGAAGAGACACAAACTTCACTCTATGTGTAAACAACATATACTGTCTTTATTCTGATGATTTTCACGAACAGATACAAACATTTCACGCTAATTAACAGGTTGAATTAAGTTGAAAAAAGAAAAATAGATTACACATTTGAACTGTTTAATGCTTTATCTTTAAACATATGTAAAAAAATATTCAAAATTCTGTTTACGGATTTGTGAAGTAGTCCACTTCCAAGGCGTTTTTCTCAAAACGTTGTTTTTGTTGAAATTGTGTCACTTTGTGAAAATGGTGACGTTCTCTAGTAGTGGTTTTTCCACTGCAGTGCTATTTTTATTTATGGGACCTAGACAGTAAATAGGGAGCTCTTGATTTGTGCGACGATGCTACCCTAGAACAGGTTCACTCATCGCTGAACATCCTACATTCTTTGCACAATGTAGATTTGGGTCAAACTGCATCCTAGAATCCATACGACAGCGAAAATGTTCTTGCATATGTAGATGACTCTTTAGTGATGTCTTTATGTTCTAGGTTCTACCCTTGTTGAAAAATTCAATGTCCTTACTTTGAAGAGCACCCTGTGTAACTGGGGTCATCAAAATAACAATAGAAAATTAAAATAAACAGATCAACCGTGAATGAGAAAACTGGATTGAAAGCAATGTTTTATTGTTTTTTTCATTACAGATTCAGCCGCAATTTGATATTGCTGAGACTAAGAACCGTTTGCTGAGGTCAGTAGCTGGTGGCGGAGTTGAGCAGCTAGGTCAACTGAAGGCTAAATGGGACAAGTTTGAACTGATGATGGAGAGTCATCAGTTAATGGTTAAAGAACAGGTGAGAGGTATATTCCTATAGCCAAGGCTTGTTGCTAAGGTCCTACAAAAGGACAGTTAAACATATGCAAACTTATGCAAACATATGCATTTGTGGACAACACATGTGTTTGTGAGACACATGTTTTCCTGGTCCTGTTTGATTGGTCAGTTGTTTGATGTAATGTTGATAAAATGACAATAGCTTTGTTTTTAACTGTATAAATTTATTTGTCCCCTTTTTATTATCAATGTATTTTTTATTCTTATGAGTGTTATCAAAATTAATTATATTATTTTTTGATTGATATTATTATTGATGTCTTTGTTATCATTAAAGTCTTTAATTCCATTATTTGTCATAATTTGTTTTAATGTTTATTTCCATTATTATTATGATTATTAATATTATCTTCATTATTCTTAACAGGTTTCTGTTTTGAAAAACAATGTGCAGTCCCGAGTCCAAGCGTTCTCGTCTGAACTTGTAAAGTTTTTCACTCGATGGCACCAGTTTAAACCCAGTGAGGACGTCCTCGAGGAAAATGATGTGGAAGCTTGTAGGAAAGCAGTGGAAGTTGTGAAAGAAAAACGAGCCGAATTTGATGAGCTGCAAAAAACTATAGATAGTCTAGTGTATGTTGAATATAAAATACTTGGTGATGATTTGGTGATTAGTATAGTAGTGACGTTGATGATGATGGTAGTGTGTTAATGCTGATGGTAATGAAGTCGTACTGGTGGTAGACTGGTAATAGAATGATGGTTAAGGGTGGTGTATTTGTGGTAGTGGTGATGGCGTTTGTGGTGATGTAAGTGTGATATTCTGGTTGTCATAGTGAAGGTTATGGTGATGGTGGTTGTGATGATAGTAGTAGTGATGGTAGTGGTGAAGGTGTGGTGATAGTCATAATGGTATAGCAATAGTGGTGGCTGTGGTGGTGATAGTGGTGTGATGGTAGTGATTGTGATGTATTGATGGTAATGTACAGAAGGTAATGAAATGTTAGTGGTGGTAGACTGGTCATAGTATTAACAGTAGAGGTGATGATGGTTATATTAATGGTGATGTTGTGGTGGTGATAATGGTCAAGTGAGGGTGGTAATGATGGGTGGTGAAATAGCAGGTGGTGATGCTAATTATGGTGTTAAAGGTAGTGATAGAAGCAAAACTATTTATACACTTATTGTGTAATAAAATTGGACTTTGTGGTTTTAATTGTCCAGCTTTGATTGTAAGCACTTTGACCTCCCAAATCCTGAATTTGAACTGGCCAATGAACTGCAAGAAGACATCAAGAAGCATGAAGGTATGTGGGGTCTTTATGAAGAATTCAGCACTGGTCTTAGTGAACTTGCGAAAGAGGACTGGGTAACATTCAGGTGAGTCTTCATACCTCTTTAGGTGAGTCTTCAGATTTCTGTAAACTTCTTCTGCTTCATAGACCTCTCCAGATAACTGGCTCCTCTGCTATTAAAATACCTTGTAAAAAAAGGACCCCCAGACTTTTAATCATCATTCTATGTCAAACTCCAAGCCAACATTTATACTGCTACTCTCTGCTTAGAAATCTTAAGGGTACAGATTGACAAGCTCCAAAATTAGTATTAACAATTGCTAACCTTTGCTTCTGAAAATTTCTCAAAGCTAATGTATTTCTGCCACTGCTAATATATCTGCTATTTCACCCCTTTCCAAGCCATTATTTTAAGCTCTGTAGGATTTTATATATGATACTCACAACACCACATAACATACTACCTATTACATACCATAATACCAGCCACCATTTTATATATCTCTCCCATCTAAGCCACAATTAATATATGTTTTGGGGGGTTGGTTTTTAATACAGGTCTAAGACGTATCATTTTGAAGACTTCTTAGGCCAGTGGGCTGAGAGGCTACGGGGAGGAGATGTGGATGGTGAGGCTAGCCTCATGACAGTCAAGCTCAACAAAGATATCGAGAAATACAGGGTGAGTTATCACTCAAACTTACAGAACAATAGCCAAGATTTCTATGAATAATTCAACAGTTTTATGAATAATGTAGTAGGTTAATGAATTATACATGGGCGGCGGAACCGGGGGGGCCGTGGGGGCCGGGCCCCCCCACTTTTTGACGAAAAATATATAATGTCTGGAGAACTTTGTATGATCGTAAATGCAAAAAAAAAGGAGGGAAGAAGGAGAAGGATGGGAAAGAGAATGTTTATCCAGTACCCGACCG